AATGAGAGAGGAGCAGGGAGACCTGTTGGGAAGCTCTCACCTGGCAGAGTCATTGTGAGGGTGCACAGCGCACCGCCAGGAGGGGGCGCTCGACAGCCTCAACTACAGCGGGAACTTCACCTTAGAAAAACAGACCTAATCGTTTGTACCTTCATAATCATAGGAATTTTAAAAAATAATTTAAAAAAAATGACATTTTAGTCTTTCTGTAGATTGTCCCAAATTCTAGATCTCAAGATTAAATGGGTTTGGAAATGAAAAATTAGACTCATCCTACTTTGTTCATTCTTTTTTGAAATTTCTACTTTTTAATCTCCCTTATATTAACGGTATACCTTCTTTGTTCATTATCTGTGTGTTTTCAAATTTCTGAATCCCAATAGGCTGTAGGGCACAGGATGTGCTACAGACTCAGTCATTGCTGCTCAATATGTAAGTGGACAGTAAAAAGAGTTTGGTTCCTTTGGCCATTTTCTAACTCAGCATTTCGAATAGTAGAAAATTTACCTTTTTGCCTTAAATTTTATATGTATATATTTTTAATTTTGGAATAATATAAGGGGACAATGATTGGGTTACATGGTTTGCATTTTTGGCTTTAATGTAAGAAATCTTGAGGTTTTTTTTTTTTTTAAATATAATCCACTTGTTCATTAATTCAGCAACCTTTTACAATTCTGCTGTGAGCCAGTAATTGGGCTGGGCAATGGGGATGGGAGGCGTGATAGAAGGTCAAGGAAGACACAGCCTCGCAGAATTCTAGAAGACAAGAGTGAAAGTGTTAAAACATATAAAAAAAGGTTTTTCCCCTGGCACTTTTAAATTTCTGAAGAAAATTGTAAAAGGCAGACTACGATTCACATTGCTTCTCGGACTAGAACAAATTTCCTTGATGGTGTTAAACCTCGAATTGGGTCTGAATAACTTACAATGTTGGCTTCGTGTTCGTATGGCTGGTTACATAACCCATTTCAAACAAACTTCATAATTTTGAGAAAATACGATCACGGTTGTCGTGGATTCATATGTGTGTGCCTATTATATTCACGTATGGACATACTGTCTGCGTAATATATTTAGATATTTGTCTTGAATTATCAAATGCAAATTAAAGTAGGTTCAGGGGGAAATGCTACAGTGGTGATGAGGATAATGTTCATATTTTGAACAAAATCATAGCTTTCCCTAGAGCATTGCTTTTGTTGATTGTTTTAATAAGAAATCACAGAATTGGAAAGGGTGAAGAAGGCCTGATAAAATCTGCATTTGACCAGTGGACTGTGGTGCTGTCTGAAAGGTGTTTTACAGACACTCAGAGGAATTGGCTTTGACAGCAGCCCAGTCAGCCAAGAAGCCGACTGTCATTCCCACGCACTTGCTCTCCCTCACATGGGTGACCTGCAAATAAATGTGTCTCCTCCTTGGTGAATGATGGCAGGTCCCTATCTATCAAATTGCACTATACAAATGAAATAGAAGCCACTGAATTTAGAAATAGATTAATCTAATGATTCATTGTTTTTTGTTTTTTGGGGAGATTCTCTCTCGAATACAAAACAGTCTCTGCTGCAGAATTGCATTGTTAGATTTGAAGATTTCCAAACGTGACCTTTCTTAAACAAAGCACATGACCAAGGGATGCTGGGATACTCTGAGAACTGCATGA